CTAAACAATCTGGATAAGAAATCTGTCAAAATTATTTGACCTCTTTATGTTTGTGACCGTATCAACCATTGTCGTGCTTTATGAACATCCGTTGATACGATCTAATAACTGGGATGACGCAACAACTAACCTGTGGATTGGAAAAAATCAAACAATCAAAGGGGTTTGTGTTGGCAACAATAGTCTGTTGGATTATTGTCAGGCAACTGTGTTGTAGTTGCCATAAGTTAGAGGGACATTGACAAGTTCGGATTCTTGTTTAAAAATACGATAATCATTAGTGGATTAATTTGCCCACTTGATATAAATGTCCTCTGAATTATCGTTTAACATTTACATCTTTTTTCCGTTCTGTGGTGTTCTGTAATGGATTGTAAGTGTAGTATACTACTAGCGTACGACAGTGGCGATGACTGGTTGATGGTCGCTATAGTACTTGGTGTGAAGAAAAGAACAGCAATGACAAAAATAAGAAGACATCAAGAAGAACTGTCAGAATTCACCCACGGAGGAAGACGGTTCAACAAGTTATCGAATCACCATGTAGAGGAACTCATTTCATGGATTGAGGAGAATCCGACTGTGACACTGTAGTTTCTACGAATGAAAGCCAAGACTGAATACGATAAAGAAGTTTCCATCACAACTATCAGCAACTATTTAGAAGGGAAACTGATTACAACCAAAAAGATTCATCAATCACCAGTAACGATGAACTTACTGGATAATAAAGAAAAGAGGAAAAGGTAATGCAACGACCTGTTTTTCAGTCATTTCTTCCTAGATATGTTCAAAACTTGCAATGGTACGGGGCACTTGGACATGAGATAATCTGAATTGATGAAACCAACTTCAACCTACATTCTCCAAGAAATTATGGGCGTGCACCAAGAGGTCAAAGGTGTCGGATACCAGTGGCCAGTTCAAGAGGAAGAAATCTGCACATCATAGGTGCTGTGAATGCTGATGGGTTGTTGAACTATATCCTGAAAAGAGGATCATACAACTCCGTATTGTGTCTGCAATGGTTGCAAACGCTAGTTGATCAATTATTGCAAGAAGTGTACAAATCATATGTGATTGTGTGTGACAACGCACCCTGTCATTCTAGACTGGAGGATGGCATGTCTGGAAGGCATTGCTTGTGATGCCAAGTCTCATATCACGAAGGATCATTGTCATCACGCAACTAACCACGTTCGTGTACATTATCCGACAGCTATCAAAATGCTTGATTTTTAATACATCTGATCTTTTTTCTAATCACTGAACTGTTTTGGGAATGGGAGATATAAGTCGGAAAGTTCCATCATTATTGGAGTCGATAGGCCGGGTGCATTAGAGAGTTCGTAGACTTTAGGGCACATTTACAATTACAGTGTGCGTTTGTCGATAATTTAATACAGAACCAGTCCCTCGATAGGCAGTGTTTTCCGGGACACGTGGTGATTAAAGAGAAATGGAGGCAGAAAGTTCATGCATCGTTAAAACCGAACGATCATGTAAAAACAGTAGACTAGGTTGGGTACATCGACATTTTGCTAATCGTTAGACTGTAAATGATACAAGTTATCAACCGTTGGAGTCGATTCCAGTTTGGTAAAAATAATCACGTACATTTGGATTCGAGCGGCGAAACTAACTGCCGTAGTCACCCCATCATCTAATGCATGCTAATTATCTTGTGAAGTGTGCATTTCAATATCATAAATACGTAAGCAATCGCATTTGATTCAAAGGAATCGGTTTTATTGGAGAGAAACTCGACCACAATAGAATTTACTCACTGGATTATTGTGGGCGTAAACTGACTCCACTCATACAAAGAATCATGCTCACATTCAGGTCTGGGCTTGGTGACGGACTTATTGATCCATCTTGACGTGACACGCTTCTTTACCGGTCCGACAGAGGTCAATTAACTCCGGGTTCGTTCATTCGTATCTAAGACGCACACTCGATCAACGACCACGAACATGACGTTCCCGGGTGGAAGG